CATCATGCTGTATCCCCACTAATCTGGGGAACCCCCCTATTCATCAACCAGGGATTTGTCAAGCCGGGGTCAACATTGCCTGTTCTCTAGCTTAAAGTGAAAGCGGCTTTGGCATCAAGGCCCCAAAGCTCTGTCCATCTCTGTCCACTTCCATTGGAAACAGGGTAGATCACCCTAGATCACGCTGGGCAAATCTGTTTTCTCGCCCAAAACAATATGAGAGCACCTTTGTGCGATTTGGATAAGACAAAACAGGGAGACCCCAAGAGTTGCGATTTTTCCTTTTGGCTTCTCTTTACCGCAACCTCCAACAAGGTAGCTACACAAACATGCACACACACAAACACACCTACATTTCTCAGCTTGTCCCTTGTCAGTGGCAAGGAGGTGGACGGAGAAGCATTCGCAGCTCTGGAGGGTCAGCGCCTCATTCAGGCCATTCAGGCCTTTTCACGTGCCAGACTTTGCTGCGACGGTTTTCCTTTTTGGTTCTCCTCCATTTCCTCTGTGGGTGGCTCGTCTCTTTTTGAGGGGACCCCGCATAGAATTGTACTTTTCCTTTGGCTTCCCTTCAAAACAAGAAAGGTGTACCCTCAAACAAAGACACCAGCCCATCTTTCAACCCGCAACACAGTATTTGGGTCGGAATATTCTTGCCCAGCAACAAAACTGCCTTCAAATTGTTTCACTCTTTCGGTCAAGACACCATCTGGTTTTGTCTCACAGGATCGACTGCTTTCATGCGTTTGGTGTCGAAAAAAGTCCAAGGGGTAGCCTCTGCCCAAGTTCGGCTTGGCCGGGCCAAGCCGCCACCACGAGGATACACAAGAAAGGCCCGTGCTTTCACGCCAGGTGCTAGATTTGTTTTTTGCTAAGGTACCTCCAGCTTTCACGACTAAATAATATGGTATTATTAATAATAATAATAATACTAATAATAATAATAATGATGATAATAATAATAATAATAATAATAATAATAATAATAATAATAATAATAATAATAATAATAATAATAATTATTATTAAAAACAAAGGGAAAACAACAAAACAAAACAACGACACGTAGCTTTTTTTGCAGTGACACACTGTGGGCTCATTTCTGGAGCTACCACCGTCGTAAGGTTTGTTAGAAACTTGGTACATGTTGATTGGGGATGGTCTCAAGCCACGCAAAACACGAAGGGCGGCTGGACTACCATCATGTCTTAGGGGTGGTGTATTCTGGCCTATTTCATGCCAGCTTGAGGCATGCAGACTAAACCGCAGGTTGTTCCCCGAATATTGAAGTCAGACATGGGCAAATGTTGACTCAAGTCACAAAGATCAGTTCAAGTTAAAGTTCTTGAAAATTCATCACCCATGTAGAAAATCAATTCTGTTTCCTCAGTGTTCCTGAACCGAATTGGGTGTGGCTCAAAATTCAGCTGGGGCAAACCGCAGGTTTTGGTCTTCCAGACACCAAGGTGCCATGTTGAGTACTTTTTTCGCCGCAGCTGCGTCTTTTTCTGATGGTACCCTTTTTGGGTGTGGTTTGAAGGGAAACCAAGAGGAACGCTACAATTCTTTGGGGGGTTTTCGAATAAAAAGCCGAGCCCAAATTTGTCTGCAAGCCTCCGCCCTTAGGATGACCGGCCGCGAAGCGCTGACAAAAAAAGCCGGCGAGCGCCTGGACTGAAGCTCGGCGCCCTGGAAGATAGCTGTGGTCTAAGGGTGGAAGGAGCCGGAAGCCGTTGCTATTTAGAGGGAACAGGGTGCAGAAGGTCCCTTTCAGTGAAAGCTGCGGGAGCCTGCTTGACCCACTTTTTTTTCCGCTGTCCCACAATCCAAGCGTGGAGGTATTTGCTTGTTCATACTCCTTGGCTTCCGTGGTTTCCAACCCACTTAAAAAGGGGAAGATACCCCCAAAAGAGAGGGGTTTGAACAGCAGGCTTTTGGGGTTCATTTGTCCCCGGGGGTATGTAAAAGGGGTATGTACAAGCACCCCTTGATCTGGGTCTGTCTCTTAAGGCTGCCCCTGGGTTGCGGCTCAGGGAAAGCACAGCTTGGCTCCCAGCCATCCCTTTGGTTCCAGAAGGTGCTTTTTCGTTGTTTTTCGCTGGTTTGGTGGGGATTTCCACATAACCCACTCAAAAGTTGAAGTTGAACGCAGGGGATGTGAGGACAGCCCAGTATATGCCGCATGGGCATATGTGTATATTTGTCTTTGCGCAGGTGTCTGTACATATGTATGTATATATATGTATATATATATATATATGAGCCACGGACAAAACACACGAAGACCACTTTATCAAGGCGGGGAACGCTTTTGCAAAGCACATGCCAAAACCATGGAAAACGATAAGGTCTCCCCCAAAAACGATAACCCTTAGCTAACACACGGATCTATAATAACCCCTGCAGTTGCAACTTAGCTAGGGTGGGACCCTTGCGCGGCCACCGTAACACGAGAAGGCGAGTCGCCACTTTCGAGCTGGAGCTGCCAAGGTGTGCTTCGTAAATACGACACTTGTACTGAGAAGTTGCGATTTTCGAGCTGGAGCTGCGGAAGTGTACTTCGCGTACTAGACTTGCACTACAAAGTTGCGATTTTCGAGCTGGAGACGCGGAAGTGTACTTCTCGTACTAGACTTGTACTACAAAGTTGCGATTTTCGAGCTGGAGATGCGGAAGTGTACTTTGCTTACTAGACTGGTACTACAAAGTTGCGATTTTCGAGCTGGAGATGCGGAAGTGTACTTCGCGTACTAGACTTGCACTGCAAAGTTGCGATTTCGAGCTGGAGATGCGGAAGTGTACTTCTCGTACTAGACTTGCAGTACAAAGTTGCGATTTTCGAGCTGGAGATGCGGAAGTGTACTTCGCTTACTAGACTGGTACTACAAACTGGAGGTGCGGAAGTGTACTTCTCGTACTAGACTGGTGCTACAAAGTTGCGATTTTCGAGCTGGAGCTGCGGAAGTGTACTTCGCGTATTAGACTTGTACTACAAAGTTGCGACTTTCGAGCTGGAGCTGCGGAAGTGTACTTCGCGTACTAGACTTGTACTACAAAGTTTCGATTTTCGAGCTGGAGCAGCGGAAGTGTACTTCGCGTACTAGACTTGTACTACAAAGTTGCGATTTTCGAGCTGGAGCTGCGGAAGTGTACTTCTTGTATTAGACTTGTACTACAAAGTTGCGACTTTCGAGCTGGAGATGCCTTGTACTACAAAGTTGCGATTTTCGAGCTGGAGATGCGAAAGTGTACTTCGCGTGTACTACAAAGTTGCGATTTTCGAGCGGACGTGTACTTCGCGTACTAGACTTGTACTACAAAGTTGTGATTTTCGAGCTGGAGATGTGGAAGTGCACTTCGCGTACTAGACTTGTACTACAAAGTTGCGATTTTCGAGCTGGAGATGCGGAAGTGTACTTCGCGCACTAGACTTGTACTACAAAGTTGCGATTTTCGAGCTGGAGATGCGGATGTGTACTTCGCGTACTAGACTTGTACTACAAAGTTGCGATGTTCGAGCTGGAGCTGCGGAAGTGTACTTCGCTTACTAGACTGGTACTACAAAGTTGCGATTTTCGAGCTGTGGAGATGCGGAAGTGTACTTCGCGTACTAGACTTGCAGTACAAAGTTGCGATTTTCGAGCTGGAGATGCGGATGTGTACTTCTCGTACTAGACTTGTACTAAGTGTACTTTACACTAGACTGGTACTACAAAGTTG